AGTATAAGGTATATTGTATGTCATAATTTATTTAGCCAATGATTAGAAACTTTATTAATGGTAATAATGTGTAAAAGTTGATGATCCATTCTATTCTGAAGAGATATAATAAAACACTCTCAAATTGTACTGTAGTACTTTTAAGACTGGTTTTATTTGACAATACACTAGCTTTCGAGCGCACAGTACTCATCATCTTCGAGTGAACTTTCCCCCGAAGACAGTTGCTTGAAAGTTAGTTTTATTGTCAAATAAAACTAGTGTTAAAAGTACTACAGTTACTGTTTTACAGTGTTGTATTATTAATGTTTGGTAGTTTCGTTGGCACTTGCATTCAAATATCCGCTGTGTACCGTATATCGCCAGTTGTTCTCTTCCTCGAATCTTCTTAATAGTAAACCAATTCATCTTTCGTGGTGATTAATACCCAATTTGCACGTAGACATAATTATTCTATTTGTTAAACTTGTCACGTTTGATCTGTGAAGTTTTTATTCGTTTCACGTGCGCAATGACGACCCTTGCAAAATGTTAGAAGAATATCAGTTGTGTGTAATTGGGGACAGTATTTGTTTCCAATTATTTTGGATATTCTTTGGTATTAATACAGTAGGCTGGTAGTGAAACACACTACGTATGAAAAGAGTATGTGAAAAATGCCTCAGGCAGTACAGTGATTGACTTCCTGAAAAAAAAAAAAAAAAAAAAAAAACTGGCTTCGACCAATCTAGGGTTATTGAAATACATAGGGGACATACAGTATGGGAGCGCACAGGTGAAGTGGAAGGGGTCGATGATATGTGAAGGGGCACTAGCTGGCAAAATACTGTACAGTGATTTGAGGTGATTTAGATTAACTTGAGCATAATTTATTTGCTTTAAAAAATTTTCAGTGGGGGGTGTGCTCTTGTACATTAGGTGCCCCCCCTGACCTCAAAGATGTGTATTTTTCTTCTAAATATCTTTGAAAATTATATTATCACACAAACTTGGTTATAACTTGTACAATTAGTTTGTTACCTTGAAAAGTATGTCCATGTGAAAAAAGGAATCAAGAAAAAGTGTGATGTTTTTGTCTAACTATTTCAAAACACAGAAATGCTACTTTGATAAAATGATAGATTTGTAAATTTTTTTTGACTTTGTTTTAATACTCGGTAATAAGGTGTACGATAAATGTATTTTGTAGTATTTTCATCTGGTAATCAAATTTTTTTGAAATGCTACAACAGCCCTAAAGACAAAATGGACATAATATTTTGTTGCAACTGGCAGCTGATTATAAATTAAAACAAATATTGATTGATTTGTGTCTACTAATTCAGACTTATTATTTTTTTGTGTGCAGTAGACATATATGTTTTTTTTATCTATTCAGACTACGGAAAAATAAAGAATTGATTGATTGAAATGTAGAGCTTCTATAAATTGATAATTTTAAATTATTTTTTAAGTCCAGTACTGGATTTCAATTTTGTTAAGTTAACTCAGCTTTTTTTTTCAGGATTCCATTAATGATTACTTATTTTTTTAAATAATGAAAAATGATTTATTAAGAATACTGACTTCTCGCCTTTTATTTAGATTCCGTTGGTGAGGTGTGGGTGTGAAAATAAAAATTCAAAACCTTTTGTGCATTTTATATTTCATCCAGTTTCCATGTAAAAAATATTTTAAAATTTACTTCATATGAATAGAAAAATTAATTTCTAATATATTTAATTGAGTTTATTGCCATCTTACTGTACTTCCTTAAGAGTTAATTATTAAATCCTATAAAACAGGTTAGATTTGTCTTACCCCCTTGAATCTTAAAAAGTGATATCGAGGAAGATTACATTTTATTTTATTCATGCAGGTATTAACAAAGTTGGATCTTCATGAAAGAGCACTGCAATCTATTTTTATATATTGCATAATTTTAATTGCAGGTATATGCTACATTTCAATCCATCAATTCTTTATCCATCAGTTTCATCAATATAAAAAAAACAGTAGTAGTGTAATGAAAGGATTTTATTAAAAAATAGTAATGATAAAGGATTTATAAACTTCATGAAAATCCTAGGAGCTTTTAAAAAAGGACCTAAATCTAACAACATAATTTAAAAAAAAACTAACCTTAATTAAAATTCAACAGGGGTAAGGCAGAGTGGAATTCCATTGCCAGGACAGTGAAGTTTCCAATCAGCTTGACAAGAAGTTTGTCCAAACATGTTGTTTATTTAAACTTGCAACACAAAATGCAATGGTTGTTTTTTTTTTTTTTCATTATGTCAAAAGAAAACCTATGCACATCCATCAAACTGTTTCATTCTCATTATACCTTCATGGTGTTATCTGGGAGCTACAAGAAATCCATGTGGTGTCACCTTATGGTGTAAAAAATGATACAAAAAGACATTTGCTAGTACATAGAAATATGCCTGCTACATTTACTGTAATTACTTGATGGCTGTAGACAGTGACTCATTTTCTTGAGTATTCTTGTCTGATATTAAAGATCGTATGCTACTTTAGCATATTGCAGAAATTGACAAAACATATTTGTATGTCAGAGTTCTGTATGAAAGAACATGGAAGCAATGGTCATTAAGACAATTATATTTTTTTATTTAAATGAAAATATAGCAAAGTATATAATCAAGATTCACAATCAAGATATTACTTCTTTGAATCTTTAATTTAACTCTCTAATTGTGATTGTTGCTACAGAAAGAGAATACTTTGTTCTGTATTGTTTATTATTAGGCAATATTTACTTACTTTTCTTTTTGATAAATTAATGAACATCTTATACATGACTTATATACAGTACAGTAGAACCCTTATTAGGGGACACCTTTGGGTGCAAACAAGTGTCCCTTTATAGTGATGTCCCCTGAATAGGGGTGCCATAGTCTTAAAAGATATACTTTCCCTTGTTTTGTGGCCAAAATGTATAGAGAGGTCCCTTTAGT